ATTTAAAGAATGCAGATTAGGTCAGAGAAAAATATCCTCAAGTACCCTGAGGAAAAACAAAGGAATTCTGCAGTCTTCATTACTGCTGTATCCTGCAACATAAAAGCCTGAGCAAGACACAAGACAAGGGCTCCGCACCCCACCTGCTGGCACCCCGGGGGATGGGCCCCACTGGGAACCGAGTCAGGTTCGGCCGGGGAGTTTGCCCCGAAAAGTGGATCCTCACGCATCGCAGAGGGCAAACCCTTATTCTCCAGAAACTGAGTTCAAGATGCTTGGCTTAGCCACCAAAATCCACATATTTCTGCTCTGCTAACTTTGGTTTTGTCAGCGCAAAGGTACAAGGTGAAGAAAATGCAAGGTACACACAAATACTTTCTGTCCTTAACTCGGCAACAGGACCCCAGCTTTTTTTACTCAGCTTGCAATGCTGACAAGCTTTCCTATATGTTACAAGAGTCCAAACGGGTCTCTCAAAAAAATCGAGACTCCTGCTATAGAGTTTAGGTTGAAGGGCACATAGCTTGGAATGAGGCCCCGCAAAGGGTCTTAAATAGATTCCACATGAGCACAAGACGCAAGCACCTACTCCAGGCTCCACTCTTAGGTACGAGCCAGGAGGTAAACAGCAACACACTAAATGGGTAGGAAAATGAGGAAAAGTTAGTGGGAGGGCAAACCAGGATCAACATCCTGAAACCAAAGCCAGAGCAAACAGGCAAAAATTTCTTTTTCCCCTTCTCCTCCTCTTGTCCCCCTCAATACAGCAGGATTACTGTCGTACCGAGATGTGGCAACACCCTGGTCAGTGCATGCTGAGCCTTCTACCAGAAAAAGGGTGCTGGGGAAGAGGGCTGGTAACTGGTTCAGGACAGAAGCAGGAGAGTAACCGGAGCAAAGGAAGGTAGAGGCACATCCCTTCCCTCATTTCAAAAGAAACCGTTACGCTGGAAAAAAGGCAGTAAAGTTGAGCTCCTCGCACCCTAACTCACCTCACTCCACGAGCCTGAACGCAAGGAGACAGAAACACACACACACACAGCTCAGTTCTCCGAGGATGTGGGTCTAACCCAGAAATTCAGGCTCCCCCCTTCCCGCTGCCTCCCCCCCGCTCCCCAGTGCCGGGCTACTGCGGGCTCTCTGCGTGCACTCTGCGTGCACCAGCGCCCCCCAGCGCCCGCAGCCCCTCCCAACCACTCCCCCTTAATCAAAGGGCTTTTAAAGAAATGCCTAACAACGGTTGGGGCTGGAAAGCTGCCGGCAAAGTAAATTGTTAATTTCCAAGCTTTAACTTACCAGGATCATTTTTCCAAACAAAAAATCTTCAAGAAAAAAACCAAATCCTTTAAATGTTTTCATTCAGAATTCCTAGTTGAGGAGTGATACATTGGTTTGCATGCTCTACAACTACACACACACACACACACGTCCTTCTGAAGGACTCGGAATTCAGTTTAGACACTTTTCAGCTCAATATCCTCAGAAAATAAGATTTAGGTAATCATGTTACAGGTACAGCTACTGCTCATCCACCTTTCATGATTTTTTATTTCAATAAGGATTTCAATGATTTTATTTTTATAAAGTTATTTCATATGTTTCATTACATTAATCTAAATATGACAAAGAACTTCTGTACTGTGAGGGTGCCAGAGCCCTGGAACGGGCTGTCCAGGGAGGTCATGGAGTCTCCATCTTTGGAGACTTTCAAAGCCCACCTGTAACGTGTTCTAGGCAATCCTGCTTTAGCATGGGGGATGGACTAGATGATCTCTACAGGCTCTTTCCGACTCCAACCACGCTGTGATTTGAAAACACGCTACTGGAGAAGAGAGGCCTTTATTGGCATGCCCATGGTGGGCAAGGCTACAGCATGAGCTTGTATCTTTATAAGACATCAAAGAAAGGGAAAAGACATTACAAATGCTTCAATTATAGGAAAATCTTCCACAAAGAACCACATTATGTATCAGAAAATCTATTTAGCAATCAAGGCTTCTCTCTCAAATCTTAACAGAGTAAATCCATGTGTAACATGGATGTACTCATGTTTCCTTTTTCTGTTTTTTGCATGGCACGTTCACCGTAATGACCAACTTAAAGAAAACTCGTTTATTTTTTCCCAAGCCTGTTACATGGCTTAAAGCAGTAGGAGCTCTGTTTTACCACCACTTCCCTATGCTGAAGCACTTCTATAGTGTTTGAGTTGATATGTTAACTTTTGTCGGTGTTACCACTAGCTACAGAATCATCACCTAGTGTAAAAATACTCTGCACTGAGCTAGTACATCATTCAGTATGTGCCACCAACATACACTCTCTACCATCCTTAGGCTTTCCACAGGAAATGAACAGTGTGAATATACTTGCAGATGACTATAACCCCCCCCATTTTCAAGTTCCAAGCACTACCTGTAGACAAAAACACATGTCTTTACATCTGCATAAGCCCCCATACGCCCAATGGTGTTGTACCTTTCTAAGTAAGAGCCCTGGATCGTGCAGTCACTTCAGATGCACACAGGTCTGCGAGTCTGGCAATCCATCAGCTGAGTGGGGCCCTTCTGGCTTTCAAAGTATAGCTTGATCATGTCACTAAATGATAAGACTAAGTCAGCAGAAGGTGCCCAATGCCTTCTGTTATGCTAGGACACTTATATTATCCAAAGCTGATGCTCAGCTAACTTCAAAATTGTATATACAAACTTATAACATGAAGATGTCTATAGATTATGTACCAGGAATGTAAGATCTGCTTTGAAAAATGTAGCACTCATCACTACTCATTCTTATTAGACCAAGCTTCTCCTGCTCCAGTGAAGCAGAGAAGTTCCATAATGGCTTTTGTGTAAAGCTTCTGCTATTCTGGCTTTATTTCTAGGCATGCAGGGCATTCATCAGCTGACAAAGCTGGCAACACATGGGATTTAATGCACCCTCCTATCTTGACTGCACGTCTACTGTATTCAGAATGCACAGAAAGGTACAGCCTGAGCATATTTATTACTGGAGATGACAAAGGTCAAAAGCTGGGTCAAATGTACCACAGGAAAGATTAGTTCCCTGACTTACTATGTGGTTAAATGCTATTTATGAGATTACCAGACAGTTCGTTAAGCAATCCAATTTCCCAAGGCTTAAGGATGTGATACAAGAAGCTTTCCACCATGTCAGTGGTTTGAGAAGAGGCTCACCTGGAGGCTTAGAAAATTATTCCATCTTGTGAGCAGTTATTTACCTTATTGGTACCTTATTTAAAAGTCACAGAGAAGTTCTCCAAAACAACATGAACGGCCTTTTAGGCTTAGGAAAAGTCTCTTTCAGGACAAAAGTAAAACAGAAGCTTACTTGGCTATTTTACTTTTATACTGTATTTGTTCTACGGATGAATAGTTGTGAAAAATAGACTTGGCTTTCCTCGATCCTGTCCCAAAGATTCACACACATTCATGAAACAACAAGTGAAACACAACACATTGCTCCAAACACCAAGAAGGTCTCATGTTTATTGAAATATCTCAGGCTTAATAAACACGCTGCACATGGCTCTTGCTGCACCATATACCCTCACAACTGCTACATCAGCCACTATGGACTCCTACAGAAACTTCCTTTCAGCACAGCAAGGTGAAGTAAATATGGCTGCTACAAATATAAATCAAACTTACAGGTCCTGCTAGGAATCACAACTGAAATAACATGAACCATTTTTTCCTTAAACAAAGCCTAAGGATTCCCTGAGTCTGAATTAGGAATAATAATAAAAAAAATAATCCTAATTTACGGCTTATGCATCTTTTTGCAATTTTGTTTTTACAAAAGAAATTTGCCTCAGTTTAAAATACACTATTTTCTATGCCATAAAGAAAAGGCTTTTTATTCTGTTGCGATTACTGACAGAGATCTGGGTTGAATCCAGCCACTTCACAGAAATTATTTTCTGGATGGAGGCAACTGACTTTGGAGATTGTTCATCATCTATACTTGACGTGGAACTTTTGTGCAATTCAGAGGAGCCAAAGTCCGCTGCATAGTCATTGGAAAGAGCAAGCCACTTACACTACAGATAATTACAGCTCCAAAGTCAGACCCCCAAAGCAGATGTGAATCTTCTTCCCCCATTAAATGGGGTAATAGGCCCATTTTGAAGTGGAAACTACCATTAATACTGCCAGGCTTCACCAGAGTGTTGTAGGGTTTGTCAACACAAGGGTGGCAAGCACAACATAAGCAGACAAGAAGTAAACAGTCCAATGGTTGGACTTAATGATCTTAAAGGTCTTCTCCAACCAAAACAATCCTATGATTCTATGATTCATAGCAGCAGCTAATTAAAGGGAAAAGTCCAGGCAGATTAAGTCACTCAGTATACTGGGGGAGCTTGTTTTCTAGTGGTTAGTGCAAAGAGAAAATAAACACTTGTATGGTACATCATTCTCCTTGAAAGCCATAACCTATTGATGAAGCTATCTGAAAGTGGTATTTCCTTTAACCGCTTCTCATGTTCCAGGAATCCACAAGGGCAAATAATGATTCTTATCCAGAGCGGGTACATGAAATGTGAAAGGCTTCAGGGACACCATTAAATCAAGAAAAATGCAGCAACGAATCAGTCCCAAAAGAGGAGATTTCAACTGACAGGGGTGATCTTCTCTGCCATCATGACAGTTCTTCTGGGCATTATTGAAAAAGAAAGTCATCTGATGTAGCTAGCTTGCCCATGATGGCTAAAATAACAATGCAGCAAAAAGTCACTAAGTGCTTTTTAAAGTACCAGCACCAAATGGGTCAAGGCAGTACAAGGAGTACTTCTGAAAGGTACTTAGAAATGGCAACATACCGAAAAACAGCAGTGTTTCATGCACGGTGTAATACTGCTTTAACTGTCAAGCACCTGAGGTGCTGAATGGACTAACCTGTCTTTCAGACAGGTCACTAAATTTATATGCGCATGACATAATCCTCCTGCGCAAAGTCACTGCGCTGCTGTTTTTTGAGTGCTGCTGTTTTTTGAGTGCTGCGCCACTGTGTGCAAAATCAGCAGGATACAGGGAGGATTTTTGCAGGAGGGAGAAATAATACTGAGAAAAACAAACCAAATGTGAACCTAATTCAGTAGTCATTGCTGGCATTTTAAAAATGCATCATAAATAAACACTGTAGCATTATTGCCAGAAAAGCCTATGTTCCAAAAAGACAAATTCCTGGTGAACTAATACTTTGAAATACCGCGCCGGTTTAGAGATACTTCTTCATCATGTTAATTATTTCATTATACATGCGGTAAGGTGCATCAAGGCCCCAGATGAAATCCAGATGTTCCCATTCTGGAATGTTTTTGTGGTAAACCAAGTTTGTGATCTGAGTGAGCAGCATAGCAACATCCTTTGGGTCTGCCAGCCAGTCCTGTCCACCAGTCCACACCGCGGTTGGTACAGTCATCTCTTTTATTTTGTAGAATGGGGGAGCAGACTGAGGAGGGGCAAAGTGAAAACAAAAGCATTAGAAAGAACAAGTCTTCAGTGTGATACTGCACTGCAGTGTAGTATAGCAGCAAACGCAAGAAGAATGTGTCAGATTCTCATCTCCTCTTGGGCAGCTAGAGACAGTCCTAACTCAACAGAAAACATAACTCCACGAGTTCTACAGTATTGCAGCATGCATAGTGGTAAAGATGCAGTTTGAGTATTTTACAAGACAGGGTAGTAGAAGTCTCAGAGAATGCATCCCATTCAAGTTATTTCCAAACCCTAATCAAATACCAAAGGCAACTACTACTCTGAAGGTATGACACTGCAATCTTCCCCAGACACTAAAGTGACAAGGAGCAAAATGTTTTTAGTATTGCACACAGTAATTTAGAAGCAAACATGTGTGTAGATTAAACAGGCTGAAGATAAGCAACGCATGTGAATTGACAGTCTATGCCTTATTGTGAGAAATGCAGTGGGATCTCATGATCTAGGCAGGCAGGACCACCCTCAAGAAGTAGTGTGCTATCATAGCTTCGAACCCAAACTACAAATCGACTTAGTAGCACCTCAGAGCTCTATAGTCCTGCCTTGTTTTGTTGTGTTTTTTTTTAAAAGGCAGAGCTCCAGTTGGTTATTGGGCAACACTAGTGGCTTTTTAGTACGCAGCATAAACACAGCACCCACAGAATTGCCCAAGGATTTTTTCATGACACTCGAGAATTATAACATATCCATAAAAGATGCCTACCTGGTTGTAATGAGCCATATTTGCAGCCCTGCTTCCCCAGTCATAAGCTTTGAGTTCCCCAGTCTTCACAGCCTAGAAATAAACAAATATTCACACATACAAAGAGGAATGGTGACACTTCTATTGCAGCAATAAAAACACCATAGGTCATCTGAAGAATCGACAAAGTGCGGGTTGGACTAGATGATCTTTTGAGGTCCCTTCCAAACCCTAACATTCTGTGATTCTGTATCTGACACAAGAAACAGTGAAATGCCAAGTATTAATAAGAGTCACTGCTTTGCCCAGTGTCGCAGGAGTGGGAAACCAACACTGAATGTCATCAGACTTTGTCTTCCAAGATTTCATAGATTCTTTCATAGCAAGAGTAGGAAAGATTAAAGAAAACAATTTAGTGCATCCAAAAGCAGGATGAGGCAGCTCCTTGCTTACTTCTGAAATATTTACCTTGCTACCTCAATGTATATGAACATAGCACAGAACTTTCTCATTAAGTCTACTCTGTATGATTTATCACCTAATACTTTTCAGAAACAGAAGTCTATATACATATCAGGGATCTGGAAAAAAACAGTCTTCACAAATTTCTCTCTGAGGAAAGACTTGAACAGTTCTGTACAGCAGAACACGCTACTTCTGAATAGATGAGCATGTCAAAAGCAGTGCTGACCACCACTTCCGTGGCAAATGGCTTCTTGTATTTGTCAGCCTGCCGAGCAAGCTTCAGGCACAACAGCATCACGGGCATGAAATTATGTACTGAGGTGAAATTCAGGATAGACTAACAAAACAGAAAATGAACTCAAACAGAATAGAAAAGAACGGGCAGTCTGCTGCTTTTCCTCATTAGCTAAAAATGTAACTCGTAATCAAAACGAGGCTTCCTGAAAGGGGAGCAAATGCTTGTTACAGCATCTCTCTGAGCCATTCCACTGTATTGTTTGCTGGCCTGAAGCACTTACAGGTAACACGTCTTCAGAGAAATAGGGGACACGGGTGAGCCACCGTAAGTCAGTATCAAAGCAGCTGCAGTGAACAGCTGCACTTACAGAATTTCACTTGGACTACGCCATATATATATTTTGACATTTTATTACATTTAAACATCAGAGACAGACATTTAAACATCAGAGACAAATTCTGGCAACTCTACCTGGCTCCAATGGATAATGTTTTGTACAGATGTCCCTGCAGGACAGTGTGTTGAATACACATCCACTCGGCTCTGCAACAAGACAGTTAATAAAATTTACTTCTCACACTGCAACCATTACTGCTTTTTTTAACAATTAACTGAAAAAAAAAATCCATCCCTCTTAAAACTGTTATAAACAAAAGTTAACTGGAGCCACACAGACAGATGAGGTAAAGGGTGCAAATATTTTGGAGATTACTTACAATTAACTGCAGAACTTTAAAGCTGAACTTTAAGCCTGGTAATGATATCCCTTAAGTATTTTTTATGTATGCAGAATATATTTTAAAAAGTGCTAGTATTGTAAGAATTGGGAGCACATTAACTAACATTTTGATGGACCTTCAGAGAAATCATGCATTACTCTGCATCTGAACTAGTAACTGTCAGTGCAAAGTCATTCAGAACTTCATACACTTCAAGTTTAGAAGTATAAAATACCCAGGGGAAATTTAGATCCTGGTAGGAAAAAAATATTACCCACCACTAAAACCTTGAAAACTGCATGTGCTGGGAAACAAAACATCAAAAATCTGTACTTTCACCTTGATACAAAATACAAAAAAAATGTACATTTCTGCACACAAAATGATGAAAAACAATAAAGCTAATTTTATCTCATTCCAATAAAAAAAACCCTCAGCCAGCCCTTATCTACCTGTGGGTAAACTGATACCAGCTTCTATTGATTTCAGGGAGTTAGAAAAAATTTAACAAGTATTACAAAAAAGGTGGTCTTACACCAGTTAACCAGCTTTTAGATAACAAAACAAGTCCTACGAATAAGTCCTTTGGAACTAAAACCACAGATGAAGGCATCAGCAGGGTCAGAAATTGGTCTAAGAGGAAAAACAAATGCACTCATCTACCACATGACCAGAAAACTTTATCAGTTCTCTTGAAAACGGTTGAAAACTGTGTCTTTATTCCTCATTTCCTTGCAAAAGGAATTAAGTACTTGCACCATCATATTAATTTAGTCCTCTTACTCACCTCCCCAACAGATCGAAAAATAATGACTTTTAGGTTTCCAGTAACATTTTAAAAGGTTAACTCTATCCATACAAGCCAGGCAACTACAGTTTATCAATGAAAGATATTAATCCAAACTCAGTCTGATAAAGAAGGCATTAGTTTTTTTTCGTAATTACACATAAAGGACAATTAGTGCTGTGATATACCGTTCACAATAACTTAGCTATTAAAAGTCACCAAAACACACCATATTCAAGTTTCTCTCATTAAAACCACACAGAAGAAAGAATATGTTGCCACAAAGGTCATCAAGTATTCTGTGGGTGCAGACATGGGTAGCAAGCCACTTCAGCAAAGAATTCTGGGGGAAGAACTGTTTCTTTCCAAACATGTCCTACAAAATAACAAACACATAGGACAAACATGTAATTGCATAGAATGATCTGGTTTTAATTCTTGTACAATATTCTTGAGGTAATTATTTCCACCTGCACTGGTGGCAGGCATGTCACATGAAAATGGTTTATCTCCTTAGCAATCTTGTTTACAGTCCAACGGGAAGGGCACTGGTAGCGCTTCTGCTAAAAATGATTCAGTCCATTACTCCCACAAAAAGTACCTGGCAACTGGGACCGTCATTAAAGAATTTCGAACCTAGCCTCAAATTCTGATCAGTTTTAAATTTAGTATTAAAAGAGTACTAAAAAGCTTCTTGTCATCCAAATTGTTTACGGCTAAAGTATTTTAAGCTGCATCTGTCAATGTTAAGTGGCTGTGCACTTGCAACTTCCTCTCTTCAAATCATGTGAGAGAAACAAGTTGCATGAGCTGTGTTGGCCACTTCCTCTTGATGAGTATCTTTAAAACACCCAAGGATTTGAAAACAGCCTACTGAGCACTTCCTCAGAAGTGACACAGCTCTTTCTTTAAAGATAGGACTGACTACTGGGTTTGTGGCCATCATGTACTTCTGCACTCCAATTTTTTTTGCAAGTCACCATGAGAATCAAGTTCCTCAGTACGATACAAACATCTGCACAGGGCACTGACCAGCTGCTGTCCTCATCAGACAAAGTTCATTACACGAGGAAGAGGAGACGACAGCTGTTAGCATCACTTTTATGTGCCTGCCTTTGGAGCAGGGAACTAATAATGCAAACAAGCATGTATTTAAATATGTATGAGGTACATTAGAGAAGGGGTTATCTCACAGAACAAACCGCTCTGTGTGGGCGGTGGAAAGAAAAGTGATAGTTAAGAATGACACATAACAGGGTGTTCACAATGTCTGACTTGAGGCACTTATTGCAGCCTGCTAGTCTGCCTACATTCTCTTTGATGTTAATGGGCAAAGGTAAACTCCTCCAGAGGATGATTCTCGGCATCTAAATAAAGCTGCTGCTCTTAATCACCCTCTGAAGGATCATCTTCTAATGCTAAATGGTTAATTGTGAAACAAATCTGTTTAAGTCCATGACAATTCAAGAGTACTCTTTATAAAGCTATCATATGAATCTTCTAAAACAGACCCACTATTTAATTAATCATATGATCGCTGTAGCTTATTTTCTGTAAATATATATATGGAAAAAAGGATTTTTATTTCATCTACTCAGTTATAATTGTGCAATACTACTTTAAACTGATACAAATCTCTCATTAGACAGTAGCATAGCCAAAGAAGCTACTGCTTACTTCTGTAGTATTATTATGGAAAAACTGGCTCAGTACTCTTGTCAAACATGTTAATCTAGTCACAGCTATTAACACTCTTTGCTATGCTGTTTTCAAATAGAAAGGGGGACATCTCACGTGGCTTAAAACATTTACACTCAAATACAAACCTTAAGTAGCAGGTCAGGAAACACTCCCAGTTTTGCCAGAGGGCTTGTGGCAAACTTGACTGTAGCTACTGGTGCCAAGGCAAAGAACATTTTGATTTTCTTAGCCAGCTCTGGCAAAGTTGAAAATGCAATGAAAGCTGTAAATAATAAGAGAATCATTAACAAATCTCACTGATACAAGTTAGATGAGTGTGCACAAATATTTTTAGATCAATAGTTTATTTGTTGACTCTGGGATCAGTTTAGAAGAAAAAAACTACTGCTCTTGCAGAGAGAGGGAGAGAGCAGTGAGAATATGTGAAGACACCCAGGTCAGTGAAGAAGGGAGGATGTGCTCCAGGCACCAGAGCAGAGATTCTGCTCAGCCGTGGTGAAGACTATGGTGTGGCACGATGGGGCTGTAGAAGTCCATCTGTAGCCCATGGAGGACACCATGCCAGAGCAGGTGGATGCCTGAAGGAGGCGGTGACCTCGTGGTAAGCCCAGAGTAGGCTCCTGGCAGGACCTGTGGACGTGTGTGACCCCACAGGGGACTCACATTGGAGCAGTCCGCTCCTGAAGGACTGCACCCCATGGAGAGGACTCATGTTGGGGCAGTTTGTGAAGAACTGTCTCTTGTGGGAAAAACTCATGTTGGGGAAAATTTGTCAAGAACAGTCTCCCGTGACAGGGACTCCATGCTGGAACAGGGCAAGAGTGAGAAGACCTCCCCCTGAGGAAGGAGTGATAGAGACAACATCTAATGAACTGACCACAACTCCGATTCCCTGTGCCACTGAGGGGGAGGAGGTGAAGAAACCAGGAGTAAGGTTAAGCCCAGGAAGAAGGGAGGGATGGGGGGAAGGTGTTATTTTTAAGACTTGGGTTTATTCGTCATTGCCCTTCTCTAATTTGACTGGTAATAAATTCAATTTCTTTTCCTAAGTCAAGTCTGTTTTGCCCATGATGGTAACTGCTGAGTGATCTCTCTGTCCTTATCTCAACCCACAAGCCTTTTGTCATATTTCCTCTTCTCTGTCTAGCTGAGAAGGGCAAGTGACAGAGTGGCTATGGTGGGCACCTGGCCACCAGCCAGGGTCAAACCACTACACAAGTTCATGCTAACTAACCCAAATCTTTCAGCTCTTTCTAGCTGCACATTTAAAAGCACCTGAGCCAGTCCTTACATACAGCAAAACATTCTGGAAATGGGAATCTTTAAATCTTCAGTCTACATGTCTGATGATTCTAATTTTGTTATGCACAGTTCATTAATTTATTTTAACCCATAACTTCAATTTACCATTTCAACAGCTTCCCACTGCAAACACAGAAAGGTTCTTTTCTTTTTAATGATGAAGATTATTCTAGGAAGCAGCTAAAAACCAAAAAAGTAGGTTTCGAAAGCCCTATTTTTTCCATCATTGAAACACATGTATGGAACTTGCTATCATTTCAAATACAATATATTCTAAAAAATGCATCTCTTCACATACCCATTGTGGTGCCCTGCGAATGGCCAATGTAAAATAATTCTTCCTGGCCAGTTTTGTTCAAAATAAAGTCCACTGAGGCTGGAATGTCATACTTCGCCATTTCATCAAAGCTACAAAGCAAAGATAAATAAGTTGCATAAGTAAAGTTATCAGTGTGGAAAAGCTGCACAGAGCTTTGCTGCACTCCAGATCAGTTGTCTGGACATGACGAGAAGCTTCCTTCGGATGAAGCAGAACATGCTGGTGATTGAGTCTTCACACCATGCACCAGTGAAAGCAATTAATGTTCTACTGACCACATAAGAAGGCTGTCTTAGGACACTATACTGACCATAAAACTGCCCCTTGCTGCCCCGACATACATGACAGCACATACAACCAGAAAAAAAGCAAAACTTGAACATTCACAACATGACTGAACTGAGGTGATGGGCAAAGAGAGGGAGAGAAGCCTTCTCACAGTGTATGTAGTTTCTCTAGCACGACTAGGATACCTGAAAACCCAGAATTCTTCTTGTTTCACTGTAAAACGTGTATGTTTCCTGGACCAGGTGTTCCCTCTGCTGTTTCCCAGCCATACATCATAGCCAGCATCTGCCAGCATAAAGCCAAGGCTGTTGTAATCCAAGTTTGTGATCCAGTTGCTGGCATCTGCAAGTAAGCCATGCTGCAGAAACACAGCGGGCCTTGGACCTGAAAAATAAAGGATTTATCATAGCTTCCTGTTCATCTGGAACTGAATGCCCAAGAACAATTCAAGTGAGTTACTGAAAGCCTGCTTTAGATTTGCACTTTAAATATTTAATCTGCTTGACTTAATCTACTAAATTTAGTAATTTTTGTAATATTCACAGTCCCATGAAATAACGTGTTTTCACAGACAGGTACATTTTCTAATTAAGAATTTTAAACTAGGAATTTGTTAGTTTCCTAACTAGAGCAAAAAATACCTGAAGTTCAAAACAGAGAGCAAACGTGTAATAAGCAAATATGAGGAAAGCAGGAGTCACAAGAGAAACCCAGGTAGCCCTTACAAGGGTTTCAAGCTCACAGATACTGAGCAAAGTGGCCCAAGCAGAGTCAGCTAAACTGCTTACGACTCTTGCCCTGAGCCTAAACCTGGGGAAGGCACTCCCATCCATGTATGTGCTACTGAGATCTTTGGTTTCAAGTTAAGACAATGCCAGACTAGGGTGCTGAACTGTGGAAATCTCTGCAACTGGTATTGATACTATTTTTATGCAACTCCCATTACCAAAGCTCTGGCACAACCTGAAAAGCAGTACAAGCAGCCAACACCGGAATCTGTGTTTCAAAGGACTTTCTCCTCCTGACTTAAGTAGTCATAAGAACCACAGTCAAGACCAAGGTGGAATTTAGGAAGTCTCTGTCCTGACTTCCCTATCCTGAAAAGGGAAATGATAATTTTATGTGGAATACAGATCAAAAAATTTAAAGGCTCCTGCTTCTACACAAAGAAAATAAATTAATGTACAGTCCTTTAGGAGGAACGTGACCTTCAGCAAATCCAAAGACCTGTCTCTGGATCTCACTAGCACAGGTGTGGTTTGTTTGTTGTTTCCCCCCCACCACTTAAGTAACTCAAATCTGATAACATGGGAACTTTAGCTCAATGCCAGAGATTACTTTGGAATTTACCTCCTTTGGTGGCACGTCATTCTACTACAATTCTAACTCATGCAATACTTCCTCCATCGGTAATTTAGACCTGGAGCTTTCAGCAGAAACAGCCGAATCACAACTGACTCAGTCACCTACACCTTCCATTCCAGGTCATGTCCATAAATGTTCACTCTGAGTTCTAAAATCCAAATTAGCAGCATTCCTCCCTCCTAGTGATGTTTATACCTCTCACAAGGAACCTTTTCAATGCCTGCTTTTCCCATTTTGTTAAAAAAACATGTTGTGGCACACTGTCCCTGCAACCGGAGCGTATCTCCAGCAGTGCCACGCAACTGCTTACCCCGCCTCAGTAATACTTCATTGCCTTACGAACAGTGTGCAGGATTTTCAAGTCTAACAATAAATTTGTTTCCAGTAACGTTCATCTGTAGCTTTGATACCTTATTCCCTTTTATTAAATTCAGATCAACTGATTTGTTTAGAAACTGGCTCTTCTCAAGCTGCTACTTGCGTATTTCATAACACAGGAAGGGGAAAACTGTTTAACCACTTTAATGCTCCAATTTCTGCCAGTTCCTTTTTCACTTCACCAAGCAGTCACCAGATCTGCACAAGATTTGCACAATCACATGACAAACTAACTTAGAAAAGAATAATTCTCTTTCAGAAAAGAATAATTCTGTTTCACCTCTGATCCTAAAAACCCTAGAGGGTGAAGAAGAAAGGTACATCTTTCACAGAATCACAGAATGCCAGGGGTTGGAAGGGACTGCGAAAGATCATCTGGTCCAGCCCCCCTGCCGGAGCAGGATCACCTACAGTAGGTCACACAGGAACGCGTCCAGGCGGGTTTTGAATGTCTCCAGAGAAGGAGACTCCACAACCTCCCTGGGCAGCCTGTGCCAGGGCTCTGTCACCCTCACAGTGAAAAAGCTTTTTCTGATGTTTTTGTGGAACCTCCTATGTTTCAACTTGTATCCATTGCCCCTTGTCCTGTCATTGGACATCGCTGAAAAGAGCCTGGCTCCGTCCTCCTGACACTCACCCTTTACATATTTATAAACATTAATGAGGTCACCCCTCAGCCTCCTTTTCTCCAAGCTAAAGAGACCCAGCTCCTTCAGCCTCTCCTCACAAGGGAGATGTTCCACTCCCTTCATCATCTCTGTGGCTCTGCGCTGGACTCTCTCCAGCAGTTCCCTGTCTCTCTTGAGCTGAGGGGCCCAGAACTGGACACAATATTCCAGATGTGGCCTCACCAGGGTAGAGCAGAGGGGCAGGAGGACCTCTCTCAACCTACTAGCTACTCCCCTTCTTAAACTACTCTTTCTGCTCTAGTACATTTTATTCTCCTCATTGCACTCCCAAGAAGCTGAAGACAGACTCATTTCCAAGCTCTTATTATCCATGCTACGCAGTTGGTTTAGATTTTTAGTTAATACTAAACCCAAAAATCACTGATGTTTTTTGGGTTTGGGTTCTCTGGACATTTCTTTTTTTTTAGCTGAAGAACTACAGATTTTGTTCCAAAACATCATGTGATATGTCATTCCAAGGAATCCTATTCACATTATGCAGGTATTGCAAAAGAAGAATTATGGTGTATATACACTAAGTCAGCAGTAACACATCGTTGGTATCTTTCTGAGGAAAGATACCACGTCTATAAAAACTTAAGATCAACATGAACTTTGAAATCTTCATTCTTCTAGGAGATCATACTTCCCCAAAGTGCTCAGTAATCCTTGTTTTTAAAATTAAAGCACTTCGCAAAACATGAACTTGGGGTCGAGGGTGTGACAAGGGGAATGTGGAGAATTCCCACAGGTCAGGAAAGTTCTGTTTGCTTATGTCATCCGCGAAGGATTCGACAAAATCAACAGGTACAAAGGCAGCCTGTCTTCTTCCTGTGGGCTTCTCTGAAATTCTTAAGCACAGAGACACCTGCCAGATTTGACCAGCCTCATCCACACATCGATCTTTACACACCCACTTGGTGAGAGACAGCGAACAGTGCAAACATCCTAACTCACACAAACCCAACAGATAAGGTCAGGAAGACTGTTGCTTGGCCTCCAGCAGTGGGGAAGGTTTTTCCACAGGTCTTGTTCACACCCAAGGCCTATAAGACAATCACCGATTTCTTTTATGAGCTCCATGTTTTTACCTCTCAACCCAGGTTTTTTCAGTCCAGCGGGTTCTGAGGCAGTCTGTAGAATACGTACGGTTTCTATGCAAATGGGCTGCTGTTGCATGCATGGGATTGTCTGTAGGGTCATTCACAAGGGGTGGTCACAGGATGGATACAAAACTCAGCCATTGCCATCCATATACACTGCTAATTCCGTATGCAGTGTATGACGACAGTAAGTCTGCTCTTCAGCGTACATTTGTCTCATTTTTAAAGCCTTCCACCATTAAGTCCTTGCAAAAACCTTTGCCCATAATGCTCTTATGTTTCAGTTTGTGTTCCCTCCACCTCTCCTCCCCCTCAACTCTACACCCCTCGCAACCCTTCCACGGTTTTATGCCAGTTTTCACAGTAATTCTTATAGCTTGTAACAGCACTCTGGTGACAGCTTCTCCCAGTCTCCCCATCAAATCACATTCATAAAACAACCTTGTTTGGGTTGACTGTTATCAACTACCTGTTGCGTATCCTAACCTGCAATATATTTTTAAATGCATCATACTCAAGATATTCTGAAGGGTTTTTGTTTTATTATATTGCTTCACCTATTTAAGCAGCCCTGTGAAATACATCACTGTGGTAGCACGCACTAGTGGTCTTGCTTGTACATCACTGCAAAGGAAGGTTCAGATTAACAAATTCTTATTTTATGCAGAAATCAGGCGGTACTTATTTTACAAACATTCTAGTGGGAACTCTTTTAACAAGTTTAGTTACATTTCAGCAGAAAAGGCACTTGAACTTCCCCTACTTCTGAAAATGGTCAGGTATTTTTAACACTTATTTGTTACAAAGAAGCATTTTGAAAAATTGGGTTTGAAATAACCCAACAACGATACAATTCCTTTTCAGTACTTAAAACCCCCCAACAAATCTCAACGTTTATATTCCACCTCCTAGAAAATCCAGCCCTCTCAGATCCCCTCCTTGCCTTCAAAAAATAATAATAAAAAAATAAAAATTGAACCACAATGAAGGGCTTTTATTAATGTCACAAAAAGGCAATGCTAGGAAAAAATAGTTTTCTAACCCCTTTTCCTTTCCTCATGTCATTTTACATGTGCCTAATCTATTTCAGCCATAACATTCACCAATAAAACATTCTAACTGTATAGGTCATACAGTCTTCAGTCATTTTCTGGATTATTACAGGACTAAAGTTTTACAAATCAAAAAGAGCTGTTTCATGACTTTCTGTTTTTCCAAGCAGGCATAAATCTTACCTTTGCTCCTCTCACGGCCTTTTCTCCCATAAGGAATTCTGTTAACAGAAAGGATATACCCATCTTCTGTTGTCACTTCGTACTCCTCACTAGGGTATCCCCTGAAGGTAATAATTTGGCTCTGAAGAAAGAAGAGAAACCACCTTGCAGTAACACTGCCAGCGTCCCCAGTTCATAGCGTGTACAAAGGACTTTGAGTTCCTTCCAAAGACGCGATGTGAAACTGAAGGATGGGGTAGAAATGTGCCATACCACCTGCCTACTCGATGCAGACAGACATTTATCCCAGTATGGGGTCAGGAACTGGCCAGAGCACAGACCTTATCCTGGCAGTTTGGGAGGACTCCCTAGCTTGTCCCCATCCACTGTCACATTAGTTACATGCTGCTTATAGTGAGAAAGGAGACTGAAGTATTGAAAAAGAGATTATGATAACTGGGCAAAACACAGAGATGTGGATTTGGGAGACAGAAATTGAAACAGCTTGCTCTCAAGGAAAGCAGTGTCTTCCAGGAACACGCGAGGACAGAAAAAAGCCACCGGCGCCACAGCAGCATATGGAAGAAGAGCTCAGCTCTCCTGAGGGGAAAGGTTTCTTTAAGAGCATTTCCCGTTTATTTCTGAACTTTATGCCAAACTCTCCAAGAGGACACAATGACGTTCAGGCAATGTGCTGAAGTGAACCACAAAGACAGCAGCTCTAACACACTAAGGTCACACTCTTCACATCTGCGAGCCGCTGACATTGCTGCCTCAGCTCGTAGCCACATGTGCCATTCCGTACCCACTGTTGTCCTCAGACCTCATGTCTGCTGCAGAGCTTTTAAGTGACTTTGCTGACAAGCCAAACAAGAAAACAACAATAAAAATCCCCACACTTCTTTAACACTAACATTTCATCAACAGCTTTATCTCCCGTCTCTTATGTCTCAGGCTTTACGTTGTTTTGATTTGATACAACTCCATTAGGACAGAGAACTTGTTGTTTATTTGGTCTTATGACACCAACCGTGGTTTGAGAAAACGTAAGAAATGCAAGACAGGACCCGAGTTCCTCTCTTAGGCTGCCGGGCAAGGAAGAGAAGGAGCATTTAATGAAACATGCTATTTTGTAAAAGTAAGTCTTTAAATATCCACAGGGACGTTAACATTCCAAAATTATTTTAAGGCCAAATTCCACTCAGATACTATTAGCCTGAGACTAAACGACTACCTTCAGTCCTCCAAATGATATTTAGACGACACTGAGGACTCGGACCCTTCTCACAGACCCGAAACATTCCTACCCTGACGCGCCTTCTCACCCGTGTGTAAAAAAACCGGCACCGTTCCGGCGGGGCAGAGGAGAGAGGAACCGACACCAGTGCCAGCAGCAAACCCTTTGTCGAGCCGGCTGTTGCGGCACA